TGTGTGTGTGTGTGTGTGTGTGTGTGTGTGTGTGTGTGTGTGTGTGTGTGTGAGGACAAGGCGGATTGGAAAATGGATAGATGGATATAAAAATAAGCAAAAATAAATAAATAAAGCATACGATTTTTTTCCGAGTATTCTCGGTGTTGTAACTTCAACAAATACTGAAGGACAAAGAAGAGTACTTTGTAAAACAGTCAAATGTTCTGCCTGTAAATCATCGGCCAAAAATAAGTTATTTGATTCATTTATGTAACTTAAAATAATCTTCCGATTAATCGTTGATCAGAATTTAATTCTTCCTCGAATTAGGGTCAGTCTAAAAATCCAAATCAGTCAGGCCCTAGTTGTAATCATAAATTTGATTAATCTGGCGAAACACATTCACTGTTTAGTTAGATTTCAATTAAACTTCAAGGCATTTCAGAATAGCGCAGTCATAATGCAAAATAGCAATACAGAAAGGAATGATCTGTTTGCCATTGCATCAGCCGACATATTTTCCCCCAAATGACCAATATTTCACAAATTTCACCACGGTTTGAAATATCAGCACAACTCTATATTCAAATTTAGTACATTTACGGGAGGGGTGCAGTTTGAATAAGAAAAATTGTTTCATACTTTTTAACAGAACATTAACAACAAAAAAAGTTGTTAAAAAAAGTAGAAGTGGTAATAAAGACAGTTTCTTCAGCAATAAAAACCTTTGCATTATTGTCTTCGTTGTGTGATGTCTTGAAAATGTAGTAGACCTGCTTAAAACGAGCAACATCAAAAATACACAAATAAAAGACAAAATCTCGAAGCGTCAGCACCCGTCTGAACCTAAACCCTATTTTGTGCTCTGATTTGTTCTCCCGTCTTAGGCCGACGATGCCTTGGGTCCCAGTTGGAACTCATTTTTTTGCTCTGATTTGTTCTCCCGCCTTAGGCCGACGATGCCTTGGGTCCCAGTTGGAACTGGCTCTACTTCATCCCTCTCATCATCATCGGTTCCTTCTTTGTCTTGAACTTGGTGCTGGGAGTCCTCTCTGGGTACGCACACTTCTTGCTTTAATTTGTCCTGGTACATATTTATATACAAATATCAAGTGGTATGTAATATAATAACATCATGTGCATATTTACACCCCCAGGCAATGGGACTGAGCAGAATGAGCAGCACTAATGTATATGCCAACTGTACATGAATAATAAAAACTATACATGTGGATGTGAACGGTGCATGAATCGATGCTACACCCCACATACAGAAGTAAACGTGAAAAACCGCAAGAATAGTTAGCGGCATTGTCGGTTGTGAAAAGTATCTTCTCCTTGAACAAAAGTAACAATTCAGTTTCGGCTTTGATCTTGCAGTGAGTTTGCTAAAGAGAGGGAGAGGGTGGAGAACCGCAGGGCCTTCATGAAATTGAGACGTCAGCAGCAGATTGAGCGAGAGCTCAATGGTTACCGGGCCTGGATCGACAGAGCAGGTGGCGTTGCTTTCACTTCCACATCACAATAATAAAAAAGTTGAACGGGGTTGATGACCGCAGCCGAGACAAACCAACACATTCCAAATTCAAGATTCAAAATGAGCATATAAGATTTTATCTGCTGTTTATTTGTGGTTCTTCTTTTCTAGAGGAGGTAATGCTTGCAGAGGAAAATAAAAATCCTGGACCCTCTGCCCTTGATGGTAAGTCAGCATTTTTGCGCTTTTTTTTCTTTCAGTCTTTCTGATCTCACATAGATTTGCACCACTTATGACTCAAACATATTTATTGGTCTCAATTAGAACAGCCTTTTCGGCAAATGAAAAATGACCATCCATCAGCCACTCCTACTTGGCCATTCCGCTCTGTATTACATGTAGAATCCATGTTGCATTGGAAAATGAAGAGTGTAATTTTCCAATAATGCTGAGTGGCCGTTGTTTAAGGCAGTCACGTGTCATGAGGAGTCCACCAACGGCACAATGTTTGCGCTCATCGTGGCACGCTAGCCAGTGGGAAGCCGGGTGCCTATACTCTCATGACTGTGACCTTTCCCCCTGATTGAAGCAGCAAGACTTTTTATGAAATGTTGATTGATTGGCAGCTCTCAGGAGGCTCCCTGAGTGGAGCGCAGGCGGCGCTTATGGTGAGCAACCCTCCTCTCATCTGCTTGCTGCCTCTTCAACTACACCACGCCATTTGACACATGCGCACGCACTCGTGGGATGAACTTTTGGAGCGTCGTTAGACCGCGGGACCAGCTGTTATGATGAGAACGAATGCAATTGCTCTCGTAGCTCTGATTGAAAAGATAGGTGGTGCTCTGCTGTTGCCTTGACGACCACCAGTCTGGAAAAAATAAGCGAAATGCAAGTGCTTTTGCATGGCGAGTGTGTTTCACACCTTTAGCAAACAGTGTGTGTGTGTGTGTGTGTGTGTGTGTGTGTGTGTTTGATTAGAGACCTATGAAAAAGCCCCTAAGCTAATATTGAGCAGTATATTCAGCAATAGAGGGAGGAGGATAGGTAAGAAAGGATGAAATCTAATGATAAACACATCCAACTTCGAAAAGGTCAAACCACTCATCTCTCGCACTCGGGCATGCACGTCGACGCTCCCTGAAACTGAATGAGAATGCATCTTCAAACAAGTGCACGGATTTGTGTATCACTCGTTCTTTCCATTTTTCAATCAAAAAAATGACAATCGAAAAATGAAAAAGACTGACTCATTATTTTGTTGAATTATTTGAGTTGAAAAACAGCTCCCAAGACGAAGTTCCGTTTCAAAATGTAATTGGTTGGGTTTATGTGACCCGGAAATTTGGTCACCGAGTATCAATCAAGATAAGATCTTGCACAATTAAGGATTTTTTTTCCTTCTTTTACTCAACCCAAATTTGAAAAAAGTAAAGGTAAAGTCAGTTCGTCAATGTCGTCAAATGCATTCATTTTTTTCAGTACCATACGGTGTTCTCCAATGGTCCTGTGCTCCCATTGGTTGGAAGACGAGCCCTAAACGGATGAGTTGAAGTTTGTGACGCGAGGCTAACCGCCTCGCTCATCCACAAGCAGCGCGTTTTTCAGACTCTCAGACCTGCGCGTACTTATGACGACTGTGCCATCCTGTTGGCCAAACATTTCCCTTCTCCTCTGAGTGCTAAAGTCTGGCAGGTCAAAAGACAAGAACATCTGGTTGGTGATTAGTCGATTCCTTGCCCTTAATGTTGATGCAAAGTAGTTAAGTGAACTCGTGGATTACTTTGTCCAACCCTTAGTAAAGATACTTGTACAGTCGAACCTCGTGACAACGTACCTCGAGGGACAAAAAGAATCTGTACGTTATCGCGGTAGTTTGTTGTCACCGTTTTCAATAAAATGGCCGCCAACTATGCTGTATAATACAATATGAACATTTATAGATGTAAAAACACGAACATGTAATCCAGGATAAACATGTCAATTACAAATATGTGTATACAGTATAAAGAAGACATTCAGTTAGCAAATGAAAAGCGCCTTCTGCAGTTCAGGATGTGCAGCGCCCCAAAGCCGTTCACGATCATCTTTCATCTTTCTGTCACATTTTCGATCTGACGTTAAATGTGAAAAATCAAGCTTTTTTTTGATGCATTTTTGTGTTCGTTTTAAAAACAACTAAAATAATGAGTCGCATTTTCATTTTTCATTTCCCAATGGCCAATCATCAATGGAAAGAATGAGTCATACATGGATTTGCATGGCCTGCCAAGCTGCCTCGGCGCATGGTTTGCGATGAGAGAGATCAGCAAATGGCATTCAGCTGTTTGGATCATTAAGTGACCATCAGAGGATTGTTGTTTTGGTCTCCTTCAACTGTCATGTAAATGAGCTTCAATGAACTTTTCCCCTTCAGCCAAAACGATACTGGCATTAGCGTGTCACGCGTAAAAGCGTTCCTTAATGTCAGTTGTCTTATTTTGTTTGGAGTTGGGTTGCATCCTCTGATAACGCGTTTACGTGCCTTGTTTTGCATGAAGGTTTTTACCGAGGGTTTTTTTCTGTACGAGTGATGATGTCATTGAACTATACGAAAAGAGATCTCGGAATTTGTTCTCATCAATTTCAACTTGAGTTTTATTGTCCTAAAAGTTCTGGTCCGTAGTGTGATTTTTCATTAGTTAATTCATTGAAATTGAATTTTATTGCCATTGCTCTCATTAATCGCTTTAACTAATGACATGACCATAAAGTAACTTTATGGATTTTCTTCCTTTATTTTTACATAAATAGAAATGCCAAATCCTACAAAATGTTGGTCATGCTAACCTTTTGAACACTCATGGAGAGGAAGATATTACATGCAAAAAAAAAAAAAAAGTATCAGGAAATAGACCACTAAGAGGAGGTGGAGTCCTGGTCACATTCTTCTTTTGTGCACCCGCTTGTTACTGGTTAATAGGAGTTCAATCAGAACCGACTTATCTGGATATTAGATAGTGTCGTAGTTGTTAATGCTTACGAGGCTGTTTAATAGCAAACTACATAGAAAGGCGCCAAGTCAGAAATACTAAAGCACTCAATGCACTTTTATGATTATGTGACAAGTATATCTCTTGGCGTTAACAATTGAACAGAACAGAATTATACAGCTGCATCACTCGTCTGTATTAAATGTTAATTAAAATGCCGGGGCAATGGCGCCATCTGCTGCCTCTTGTGGGGCAGTGCCCCAATTGCGGAGCCACAACTGGTTGTTTCTTGTTAGCCAGGCTTGAGGACAATGGCGCGTTGCTGTTGACACACTAATCGACATGCACAATTACAATGAAGGTTTGCTGTTAACGTACATCAACGCACATTTTCCAAATGAAGACAATATTCGCTTGAAGACTGTTCATACATTCCCAGGTGATATGGATATGTGAAATTAGGAGCGGTGTTGCCTAGCGGTGTGCATCTCGCTACAGAAGACGATTCAATACGTTTGGCCGTATACGGCGTCCGATACGGTTCAAGGATGTGACGATTTTAAAACGTAACGATTCGACTCAGTTCTTATAAGTGGAGTTACGATTTGATTTAGCATGGTCGGGCTGTAGATTCTGTCATGTTTGTTGATTTGCAACAACATGAAAAGGCTAAACATGAAAATTCTGATTCGTGATGAAAGTGTTTTACTGATCTGTTGGTTATGTTGATGCTGCTCCATGTGAAGTGCTGAAGAGAGCCACCACTATAAAAAAGAGAGGCATGGAGTCGCCCCATCGGGGTCCAGCGGAGGAGCAATACGGGGATATTTCCTCTGTGGGTGAGTAGAAGTCTTGCCAATTTTGTCAGGTGAGCATCCTCATCTCAAACTGGGCAGCAGGACATCGCCACTCTTTTCTGCCTCCCCTCAAGGCATCCCCATGTCCAGAGAAAGCTTCAGGAGCGGCAGGCGAGGACCAGCGGTGTATTTCCGCCGCAAGGAACGCCTCCTGCGCATCTCCATCCGCCGCGTGGTGAAGACGCACACCTTCTACTGGACGGTGCTGAGCCTGGTGGCTCTCAACACGCTATGTGTGGCTATCGTTCACCACAACCAGCCGCTCTGGCTGTCCAATTTTCTGTGTGAGTCACACTTTCTGATTGTGTTGAAGCAGGGGCTACCTGACTTTCTCAGAATCTGAATCTTCTTTCGTGGCCATCGTCAAGCTATTTTTTAATACCGCCACTATCACGTTCCAGTCATTAAGAATATCAATACGATACAAAAATGCAGTATAACAGCATACAACAGTGCCAACTACATCTGGAATAGTTCATATTCAATATTCATGTAATAACATTATACTTTTTAAAATATATATCTAAAATGCGTCATACAGTTTTTCCGCACATTTCCGCTCACAAAGGAACCTATCCTCCATCGTTTGATTAAAAATTCACTTTTTCGCTTTCATGTGTCAAAGTCAAAGCCGTGTCTAATCTAAAAGTATTGCTTTGGTGCCAAGGAACTATGATGAAGTGCATTGAGTAGCTTCATATAGTGCTTTGCTGCCATCTTGTGGCACCTTTAGGCACCTTGACAGAGGTGCTCACAGTTGGTCACAAATTTGTGGCGCTTTTCATGGCAGGCTTCGGTCTGTACTCACTAGACAAGCTGAGTGTTAAAAGTGTGTTAATGTTCATAGATGCAATACAATACAATACAATACATCCTGATTTATATTGCGCTTTCACAACAGCTGCAGCTGTAACAAAGTAAAAAGACAGATCACTACAGGTGTGTTTTAAGAGTTGAACTAGGCCCTGACAGGTTTTGCTCTGACCAACCGATCAGCGGATGGAACTATGTTGACGTTAATGTGGGCCAGCTCGCTGGCTCTGTGAGCATCAATTTTAAATGGAGTTGGATCAAGAAACAGTCCCTTTGCTAACATAGTTTCAGTCGCATCAGCCAGCACGACTGATTCTGGAGACCCAAACCAGATTAGATTTGCAAGCACAAAGATACTGCAATCTGATACAACAACAACAAAATGAACTTCCACATATACAGTTGAAAGCAGTGCAGCCAAAAGAAATGCTAGAAGGAGATATAACGACATAAATCTGCTTCAAAGTCACTGCACAATTTAGTTCTGCTAATATGAGAGTGTCTGTTGCTATTCCAGACTATGCAGAGTTCTTGTTCCTTGCTCTGTTCCTGACTGAGATGTTCCTGAAGATGTACAGCTTGGGCCCCCGCCTGTACTTCCACTCCTCATTTAACTGCTTCGACTGCAGCGTCAGTGTTGCATCTCCTTTCCTCAATCCCTATTCTTCTTGTACAAAATCTTAATTTCCCGTCTTTGGACGTCCACAGGTGATTGTTGGCAGCATCTTTGAAGTGCTTTGGGGTGTGTTCAGGCCGGGCACTTCCTTTGGCATCAGCGTACTGCGTGCTCTTCGTCTGCTAAGGATCTTCAAAATCACCAAGTCAGTACATCTTTACTTGCCTATTGACAGAAGAACCCAATCGGTTCCTATTTGACGTAAATGTTTGATTTCCTGTGAAGGTACTGGGCGTCTCTGAGGAACCTGGTAGTGTCGCTGATGAATTCCATGAAGTCCATCATCTCCCTCATCTTCCTCCTTTTCCTCTTCATTGTCGTCTTTGCTCTCCTGGGCATGCAACTCTTCGGTGGCAGGTAACACCGAGGAGTCCGTCTTTACATCCAAGAAAATGTGCTTGGGTAAAGATTTACTTCTGCAGGGGGTAATTCATCTTCAGTTTTACAGCCTCCACAGTTATTCTCAAGCTGTCAATAAAGTCTCCAATCTATTCTTTAAATTCTCTAAATTTTCTGGGCCCCCAAAGGTTCATCTTTGAGGACTACACTCCCACCAACTTTGATACTTTCCCGGCAGCCATCATGACAGTCTTCCAGGTCTGCTCGTCAATGTCACGCTAATGTTATTAAGACCCATAAATGGGGGAAAACCACGTCAATAAACTCTACTCTTTTGTGCGTTTGTTCTTGTTTGTCAGATCCTGACTGGCGAGGACTGGAATGAGGTGATGTACAACGGTATTCGCTCTCAAGGGGGAGTCAAGTCTGGCATGTGGTCTTCGATATACTTCATCGTTCTGACCTTGTTTGGGAACTGTATCCTCTTTCTTTCGCCTCCGCCTTGTTGAGGTTTCAGCTTTCCAACAGTGTTTGATAATTGAAGCTACGGGATAGTTTGTGGAGTCTCCACCAATGTTTGCGCTGGTGCTGTTGTTGTTGAAATAACAGAAATTGTGTTTTCCTTCACTCAAGTTTGACCAGACACTCTGCTGAATGTCTTCTTGGCGATTGCTGTGGACAACCTGGCTAATGCACAAGAGCTCACTAAAGTAGAGCCCAACAAATATTAATTGAACATGCGCAATCTAATGAGATCCACTGCAAGAACTGGATATAAAAAAAAAAGACCATTCCGAAGATAATATTACTCAGACTTTTGTCAGAAAGCTATTCATCTCCCAACTAATACTCTTGAGGCGGATGTCATTAGATGGTGCAGGTTCTCATTTTCTCCAGCCGTCGCTCGGATTTGCGAACCATTAGCCAAAAAAGACAAATCACAGTCGACTCTGTATTCGCTCTTAGGACGAGGAGGAAGCCGAGGCTGCTTTCAACCACAAGCATGCGCTCCAGAAGGCGAAGGAGGTTGGCCCACTCTCCTCCTTCATGTCTTCAGAGTAAGTCCTCCATCCGCCTGACCTCCACATCGCCTCCCTCTGTCTCTCTCTCTCTCTCTCTCTCCCCATCTTCTTCACTATTGCCTCCCCCACTGCAGTGAGTGTCCACATACTGTAGAACGTAACCCACATGATTAACTCGTATGATGAAGTCGTTATGGAGGGAGGGTAAAAGACCCAAGGATTTCGTACAGACTTGCTGGCATGTAATCTCACTCTTCGTCCTTGCCTGAGTGGATATTCATTACACAATAGTTTTATCGTGTTGTCATGGAGACAATTGCGCTTGATGTGTCCAGTAGGGTTTTTAGTCAGCAATATTGTTGTTAGAGATGACGATTAGGTCATGCAGGGTGAATAAAAGTGTGTGGCAGGCTTAATTTTGCGTGTGGAAAATTCTGCACTGCCTTGCCCCGTTATCTACAATTCCACCAGATCCTGTTTGATTTTGATATGTTCCCTTTGCGGTGACACTGTTTGAAGAAGCTTACGACACAAATCGTTGGCCATGGTCTGTTACTGATGGTGAGAGTGGTAGAACGCGGTCAATGGTCAAACGATGTCTCATCCCGATCCGCTCTTGTCAAAATTTCAGCTGGCTCAGGCGTTGGCATTGTGAAATATCCTCGGCGCCCATCAAGGGTGAATGAATAGTAAATATACTCATTCCGTATGCTGATAGACAGACGAATAACAGTATGTTTACTGGACATGAGCGCTGCATCATTCATACGTCCACTGCTCTGGATCAGGGTGCGTACACTTCAAATCAGGCTTGCCATTTTTTTAGTCCAGTTGCTTTTTTTTTTTTTTTTTACTTCCCCGCTAGTAATGAAAAACGCAGAATTCAGTGAGTTGTCCAGGTTAGGCTACATTCACGTTTTGAAATGATTCATCCTGTGCTGATTTGTTGAGATGACAAAAATCTTGCTTTTGAACAGCGGTGTGAAGAATATTTACATTGATACACTGTGTGAAGTCTTGTATCGTATTTGGGGAAATACTTAACCATGTTTCCTTCGTGGTCAGGTTTCCAGATGGCACGTTGTGTGCGGTGGTGGATGCGCATGCATGTGCATGACAGGATTGTAGCCTGCTTTTTACTCGATATGCACGAGAAACACGTTTGTTATTATGGGCATGCGAAAGAATTTTTCTTTTTTCCCCTATCACTGATATTTTCACTCAAATGAGACGGCGCAGGCTGAAAAAGAAGAAATGCGCATTCGTTTGAGCTGAGCAAGCGTGACGGATGGTCGTCACCACCGTAAGAGAAGAAGACAGCAATACACCAGCATCTGTATGCCCGAAGGACGCTCTGAACTTTATCTCATTTCAATAGCCGGTGCACTACTGACCTTGAAGAAACTTGCATGGCGGCAGGAGATAAAACTAAGACGTTCGCGGCATGTCGGATGGAGGCTGGAGATTAATTCTCTGCATGTGTTTGGTTGGCATGATAATAGGGGAAGAAAATCATAAATTGCAGCACCCTTGCTGAGCCGTTGTCAGACTTTGAATTGCTCCTCCGTCGTGCACCCTCCTCGGAATATTGTGCTTCGACCTGAATTCACGCATTAAGTTGGCCAAGCATGACCTGAGGACGCGTCAATGCTTGGAGGTGGTGGTCATGATCATAGCTGCATCCAGATACTTGTGTCAAAACTTTGGAAACATAATACACCTTGCTGTGTTTGCTGTACCCATCTTTCTGTTGTTATTGTTGTTGTATTGTCCATGTTTTTGTGTGCACATGATGTTAATTGTGAAATTCCGAGATGCCCTCGATTCATTGTTACGCTCTCAATGTTTATGAATGTTTTCTAATTGATCAGATAGGACAGTCATCTTGTTTGTGTCAATGTGTCGCTTGGCTCCAGTGGAGACACACACCAAAGTATGACGAGTTTATATTTTGAATTGTTGAGCCAGTTGGATTTCTCTTTGGATATTAAAGGTTAGCGTCAGAGGAAACACATTCGTCAAATGTGAATGATGAGAAGCAAGCACTGGCACTATTCCAACTGCACATTCATGATTTTGATTTTCACCTCAAGGCAGGATTGCCATTTATCCTTTACAGACACCGCCACCCCCCAAAAAAAATCTTTTTTTATTTTTTTTATTTTTATTTTTATGAGAACAATTGACACACACATACACCCCTTGATATGGCGTGTTGTATCAACCAACATTATATATTTCTACCACCCACAACAATGGCTACATTCTCATGTGATCGAATGAAAGAGCTCAATTAAAGGTTTTCTGCCTTTACCAAAAAAAAAAAAGATAATAATGCTCAATCAGACAGGTGTCAACATTGCGTTTTTTAATATGTGCGATGGCAATATTTTCCACATTACTCTAAATAAAACTGAGAAGACTTCTGATCAACAAAGCGACTGCTGACATAATTGGACTGAACAATGCCACCTCATGATCACAAACGTTCTTTTTTTTTCTTTTTTGTTTTTACCATTGCTAATGAGCCGCATGCTGCTTCACCAAAGAAAAAGACCTGATTTTGTGATCACATGTAGCAAGCAACCTGTTCTGGCAAATTCCCATTGCATTGTGGTCGTCGACAGTGAAAATTATATTCGCCAAATTCAGCATGGTGAGAGCATGTCTCAATAGTCACGCATAATTAAAGAAATAATATTGTGCAGTTTGGTTTATGCGCTCTGAAAATGCTATTGATTTCCAAATTTTTCGACCAAATAACACCGTTTTATTTTTTCGGAGAATGAGCATCTTTTGCTGTGTGTCTCCCAGCCTGTTTTGTCTCTGCTCACCCAAAGCACTAATGTCTTGTTTTCAACCAATCGCTCATTGATAACACGGACCGCACAAGAGTCCACGCTCCAGTAAGTAACACAGTACTGCTCACTTACCGTTCACCTCTGTGAATGTCTCACTCACACTCGCTCGACCTTTTTCACTGACTTCGACACACCAGCCTCATTCTCTTCATGCTCCAGATCACATATTTTGTTATATTCGTGCCTCAGACTCCCTTTCTGCATTTCACTCTTTCTGTTGAAAGCACACACAGCAATTCCCACAAAAAAACATCATCACCGATCCAATAAATCAATGGTCTCGTTTTGAAATGAAATGGCTTGTTGTTACTATTTAGGCATTTGATTACAGCATCCGCTTTGCACGTCAGTTTTCATCGTTTTTCATGTGAATAAAATTCAGCGGAAAGTCTTGAAGTCAAACATATTCCGAAATGCTGCTCAACAAATGTACCCGTAGGATATAATGTAAATAAACCGTGTTAATCGTTTAACTGGCCTTCAAGCGAATAAAAAATTAAAATAATAAATGCTAAGTCCTTCATGACAAAAGAGATATGCAAAGATGATTTGCGTGATAGAAACTTTTCTTTCTTTTTCCCATAATTGTCACACGAGTTGAAACAGAAGTTAACCACTTCTAATATAAAACCTGTAAAAAAAAAAAACAAAAAAACAAAAAAAAAACATTCCAACGTATCTTTTAATTGAACATATAACTGCACTTCCATAGCACCCTGCAATATACATATTCGAAAATAATGGACGCCTGGTTATTCGGAATTTGACACAGACCGAGCTATTTCAACTTTTTCAATATTTTTTTTTTTCATGGTTTAAAAAAATGTCGATGTAGTCATACTGGCCTGGTCTCTATCCTCCGCAAATAACGTGGGTCCACCCTATGACATAGGAAACAATGAAATCATTTTTCAAACTCATTCACTGCCTTTGATGGCGAAAGTAGTCAAAAGATCCGTTGTTTTACCATGGGGCTGACAGTGAATGAGTTAAAATAGAAATTAGATAAGAATTGGCTTTCTGAGTTCTGATTTTCACTTCTGGAATTGAACTGCTGAAGTGAATGAACTTTTCTACTGTATTCTAATTCATTTAGATGCACCTCTTCGCCCCTTCTTCTTCTCTAACAACCTAAAACTGCTCTGAAAAAAAAAACATGGAAAAAAAAATGATGACTCCATTGCTTGTGTGACTTCATAATGAATATAATCAAAACATCTTCAATTAGCCATTTTGAATTTCACTTTTTCTAAAATCTGCTTCTCAATGCGATAAATGTATATGTCTTCTCCTTGTGTCCACAGAGGAAGCCGTAGGAGGCGTCCCTACCTGTACAGAAAAAGAGCCATCCACCGCAGCCGTCCCACCTACTCCCGTTCCCTGGAGGAGGCAAAGGGCAGCCTCAAGGAGGTCCGCCCTCTCCCGCAACTCAACCCGTCTAACTCTTTCATGTCCAGGCGAGAGAGGAGAAAGAGGATGACCATGTCCGTGTGGGAGCAGAGGACCAGCCAGCTGCGGAGACACCGGCAGATGTCCAGCCGGGAGATTTTGTTCAGCGGTCCCAACGAGGAGAAGGACGGAGCCGCTGCATCGGCCCAGTCTCAACCGGGTCGTCCGCAGTCCCTGCACCGCAAGGCTATGCCGAGCACTCCACCAGAGGGTGCGAGATGCCAGGCGGACCCCCTTGTAGACCACTTGACATCACCAACCAAGAATCAGACCTCCACGGAGATATCTTTTGAAGCTGTTCTCTCCGGTGTCATTCCCGAACCCCCCATGTCAGCGCCACCCGCAGAGATATTGGACCCTTTGAGTCTCATCCCCGAGAATCCCCCTGAGTCCATACCAGAACCCAGCCTTGACGTTGACGACATTCACAATGCGATCGGCGAGCGAAAGAGCCCCAGATTGAATGGTGATCGTCAACACAGGGCTGTAAAGAAGTTCAGACCGCCGGACGACGGTGATGCCAGCGGGATCAGGGGCAGGAAAGCATTGCGTAGTCGTCAGAACGGGGCTAGGAGTCAGGGATCATCTCCTCGGAAAGGAAACCAGTCGGCGAGTCGCTCGGTTAGCCGGGAGAGGAGCATGGAGGGAAACAGGGTTCCAACAACAGTAGAGGAGAAAGTGGCGGAGAGTGAAAAGAGAGAGGAACCCAATCCTGAGGAAAACAGGTGAGAACAAATCGTCCGGTAAAGTATTCAATCTATTCAACTATTTTCTGTTGTGCTTTTCCTCAAGATCAATTAGTTGATTACTTGATTATCACAAAAGGAACAAAGTTGGGAGCATGTATAACCTGAGTTAAAAATATATATATATTGTAACGTCTATTACTGCGGTAAGGAAGTTTCCAGTAAATGCCAATCTTGATTTTTTTTCAAAGTGTGGAATTGACAATTTGAGACTCTTGCGGGGTATGTCTTCAGGCATGGTGAGCAAAATGAGCGAGTGGACACTGTGCACCCAGACAGCCATGCGGGTGTTCAAAAGCCGGCAGAGCTCCCTCAGGAAGAAGAAACGTGTCCACTTGCTTTAGAAGAGAGCAACCAAGAAGACTTGGATAAATCTCAACTCAGCTCCAGCGTGATCGTGGAAATGCCCGACATGGAGGCATCGATGGAGTTGTCTACTATCACTGGTAACTGGTCGATGTTCCAAACTATTTCAGGTTTGACTGCCTCGACCATCATCACGCACATCCTTCCCTTCTTTTTGCCTCTGTAGTGAATAGCAAGGACCCTGAAATCTCCAAATCTGAGAAGGAGGAAGTTGAAGACATCAAAGCAGTCAACAATGTGACGCCTGACAGCATGTTCATCTTCAAACCGGACAATCCGTAAGCTCTCGTGGTCAACTTCCCATATGTGATTGCCCCACTAAAATTGTCCCGAATAATTTGCGTTCTGATTCATATTTCATTTGTGGAATTTGATTGAAGGCGCAAAATCCATCCGTTTTTATGCATCCAAGGGGGCGGCCATTTTGCCACTTGCTGTCGACTGAAAATGACATCATAGTTGCTCAGGGCTTTTATTTATTTTTTTTTTTTTACCTTAATTCATATTTCAGAAGCATTCATAAGAATGCTGTGTTTAGACTAGTTGGGGCTCAAACAACTCATTTTGTCAAGAACATTTATGACTTGACTTGCCCTTTAACCATGCAGCATTATATAAAAAGAAGAAATCATTTTTTCATGAACATACAACCATTGAATTTATTCGTCCCGATTAAGTTGAATTGGATCATTTGATTTTGATCTCTCACAAATAAGCTATTGCGCCGCAACATGATGGCTGAGAATCGCTCATCTACAGCTTTTCATTTCAAGTTCGAACAGCAGTGGTGCAATGTGGGAATGATGGACCCCCATTGGCCGCAAATTGTGATATAAAATCATAAAAGCTTTATTAGCTTAGCGGGCCAAAAAGCATATTTCTCACAATGTAGTTTCAGTCAGATCCATTTTTTTTTTCCGAGACCCCCGAATCAGTCTTGCTGTGGCTTCATTCTCTTTGCTGTTTGGTGCTTGTCCTCAGGGTGCGACGAGCGTGTCACTACGTGGTGAACCTCAGGTACTTTGAAATGTCCATCCTGCTGGTTATTGCCGCAAGTAGCATCGCACTTGCTGCTGAGGACCCTGTTGCCACCACCTCAGACTGGAATAAGGTTTGTGTATCCATACAGGGAAATTCATTTATTTATTTTTGTTTTATTTTGTTTTTCACGCCTTGTCATGAATCATTATCCTGAAGAGCAATTTAATAATGCCTGGGGTGCAGCACTCTTGATCTACATTCCCAAAAGTTGTTTTGCAAAATGGCGCAACTGAGAACTAATGAGGAAGACAATGAAATTGTGATTAGTCTGGCAAGTTCTTTTTTTCAGATGTCATTATTATGTTTTGAAGAGATTGTTACATTTCAAAGCACAAGCTGAGAGCCTTCGAGTTTTGAAATGAGCTTCACCTTCTAATAAAGCGACACAAGTTTACTTTTTAATGGCAGTTTATTCTATCGACGTGTTTCTTTGTGCTCTCGTTTAGGTTCTACGATATTTTGACTACGTGTTCACTGGCGTCTTCACCTTTGAAATGATTATTAAGGTAAGTGACCTTGCAAATGAACAGCGATTTCTTTGCAGTGAGAAGATGCCAGGAGGCAAACTGGAATGGTTGCCGCAATCCAGTTGGGGCAATTCTTTTTTTGAAAAGAAAGATATGGAAAGATGTCGCAGCCGATATTTAAAAAGAGTTGAATCACAAATTGAAAAAGAAAAATGAGTGAGGAAGCAGATGGTAGGGTGGAGCTTGGGTTTAGCTTGTTAGCCTGACAGGACAGCAGCTTACGAGTTGCTCCACGTACAACACTTTGTATGCAGCGGTGGCTGTGCTCTATAAATACAGTTGGATTGAGTTGAGTTGAGTTCAATTTGTTCCCTGACCAAGCTTGTAATTCGAACATCAAATGCATCTTTCCCATTGAAATCATTTGAAATGCCACACAGAAAAAGCTAAATATTCATGACATGTTTTTAATGAAGAAAAAAATGGCACTGTGTTGCAAAATGTAAATTTTAGGGCCCAATCAATATATTTTTTTCGGCCAATTTCGATATTTGTCAGAACAAAATTTCGATATTTGTCAGAAAAAAATTCCGATAACAGGCTAATCGGACGATTATTTTAAAAATAAATAAATAAAGGTACTTTGACCTCCTTAAACTTGACAAGAGCGGAATTTGAAAATACAGAAACAGGCAAGACAGAATCAACACGTCAATTAAGATTTAGATTTAGGCCGTCAATGTGCATAAGCAACATAATATACTAAGTGAAGGTAATGGCAAAACATGATTTATTCATGATTCCCCTGAACGTTAATTCCCATTTCTTAAACTCCATTCTTTTCCTTGCCATGAAATGATGGCAAGGAAATAAAAACTTTGACAGAGTTACTTTATAAAACAAATGATATGATGTACAGAGAGAGCGTTCCACTGCAACGGGAGCCAATTTTCACCCTAACAACACATATTGACTGACAGATATTGCGTCTTAACGGGCATATGAGAAGCTGGATGTCATTCATACACAATAGCGTCAGCCATGCGAACACCCAAATTGAGGTAGCAACTAAAATTTGGCAGCAACACACTAATAATGCACTCCAAGGATGAAAATAAATGTTCTCACTGTCAATTTTTTTTCACATCACTCCAGTGGCAGCACAAAAATTCCTTGTTGGGGCTCTTGTAAGTCAATGTACCATTGTATAATATTTCCTTGTATGACGATCATTGACACAGAGAATGGCTTATGTAGTTTGATTGACACCGTCGTTTAGATGTCTATTATTGTGCTCATTCAGAGAAGCGTTCCTTAAATTAGGTTTCCGAATGTCACATCCTTGTTGGTCCTCAGATGATCGACCAGGGTTTGATCCTCCACGACGGCTCGTACTTCCGAGACCTGTGGAACATCCTGGACTTCATCGTGGTCGTGGGAGCTCTGGTGGCCTTCGCCCTCACGTCAGTTGCATGTTTAATTCAGGCTGTGCTGTTCAAACGTATTCATGTCAAAGCTGCTTTTTGGCTTTTCTACTGTGCATTGCTCTGTGTGGGTGCGGCGCAAGCATATCTTCTGTATTCCACTCTAATCGTTTATGTGCATGACCCTCTCTGTCTTTCCCGTCTCTGGATGGTGACCTTGTGGGACTGCCTGCAGCAATGTGATGGGGTAATAACTCTTCACGTGAAAATACTGTATGTCATATCGGGTTGAAAACATTGCTAACATGGAGGTGAAAAAAAGTACAGTGGTGCCTCTACTTACGAAATTAATTGGTTCTGGAAGAAATTTTGTAACGAGAAAATTTTGTAAGTAGAGACGCGTTTTCCATGTAAATGCCCTAATCCGTTCCAAGCCCGTCAAAATTCAGACATAAATGTTTTATAAAGCATAAAAATGCATCAAAATATTTAACAAACAATTAGATTATTGCACAACAGATGAGAGTTGTGCATAATGTAAAAAACAAAGAATAAAGAATAAAAGTGGTGGTCATTTAACTTTTAACTGCGTCCTCATTGTTTGTTGCCCTCTCTAGTCCATGTTCTCTCTGAGAAGTGGTTTTTGCATGATCCAAGGATGTTTGCTTTTGTCGGCTTTTAACAATCCTTCGAAAAGGTCCAAAGCAAACATCAGCATAATGAGCGATCGTCTGACTGGTTAACACTTTTTCTGGGTGATTCACATTTACGTAAAACGATCGGAACGCCTCATAGCCCGACGGGCGAATGACGAGGACGCTGCATAGACACGTCTATCTATTTATCAATCTACACACACAGACACATACGGTAGAGGTCCCTCTTAGCCAATGGAATGCCAGGAAGATGTTAGGTAATAGCCAATGGCAGAGCAGCAAAAGTATGTTGTGTTCATGAAACTCGGAGCTGCGACCAGCAGGCCAGGCTGCATTTTTACCTTTCGTATCGAGAAATTTCTTTCGTAGCAAGAGGCAATATTTTCCTGTTGAGGCGTTTCGTAACTTGAAAATTTCGTCTGAAGAGACATTCGTAAGTAGATGTACCACTGTATATCAAATGTGATGCTTACCATGCTACTTCATTCTAATGCTCACACTGAGTCTACTTGCACAGAAACAACAAAGGAAGAGACATTAAAACCATCAAATCGCTGAGAGTCTTACGTGTACTCAGACCCTTGAAGACCATCAAGAGACTTCCTAAACTCAAGGTCGGAGCTTCTGCTTTTGAGTCGTTTTGTATGAATCACAATGGTGAACAGCTAATTTTAATCGAACAGATTGGACACCTCCCACGTTTGCAGTCATCTCTTTGTGGAAAAACCTGACTTTTTTTTTTCTCCCGCCCGCAGGCAGTGTTCGACTGCGTGGTGACATCCCTGAAAAACGTCTTCAACATCCTGATTGTGTACAAGCTCTTCATGTTCATTTTTGCTGTCATCGCCGTGCAGCTCTTCAAGGGGAAGTTCTTCTACTGCAACGACAGCTCCAAGGACACAGAGAAGGACTGCCAGTAATAACTCTCACTCGCCTCACTCTCTTACTCTTTTGCATATTTCCAGTGGCTCCGTGTCCTCGTCAAGGCAGCAGTAAGCCAGTAATATGATATCCCGATGAAAATCTACGTGCATGCCAAAAATGTCAGTTAAAAAGAGCACAATTTTTCCAGATCAATCATTTCAATGATTTATGCGAAAGAAAAATTTGCACTTTGCCCCAAGTGCAAATTTAACTGCAGGTATTTTTTTCTGATTTAATTAATCATCAGTAATTAATTAATTGAAGATTTACTTCAGCCTTAATACACGAGGAAATTTAGAAATACCCCAAAATAAAATGAACATTTTTAAATGGAGGGCAGGGTTTGAAATTAAAGGGCAGAAGCAAAGCCCTCCACACAATTACATGTGCTGTATACGTAAAATAAGCAATTGTATTTATTTATAATTGAATAAAGAACTAAATAATTGGATTTTTGTGAGATTGAGACATATTTTGATAATTCATTTTAAATTACAGTCATAAAATTGCTTGCTCACATGATCTAATCGTTAATATTAAGGTAAGAGAAAGCAGTGAAAAACATAAGTCTTGTTCAACTTTAGAGGCATTTGTTTCCTCAAGATTGTGGTCAAATTCCAGAAAAAAACTTTATTTGTCTCGCAATGGAGAAATTGACAATTTTCAAAATTCTGAACATGAGAAAGTAGAAAAACAAAACAAGTATTTGCGTGCACACAAAAAGAAAATTTAAAAAATGGACCGCACACAGTACAGAGTAAATTATATAAATATAAGCATATATGCGTATGCAAACGTGGCTGTGCTATTTAAAAGTAGCTTGTGTCGCATCAGCGTGATTTTAATCACAGATGACCTCACACGTTGTCTGAGATTTGTCATTGTAAATGCTGGATAATTTTCTTCCTTCTTAATCTTTGTCTTGTGTCCTCTCGTACAGAGGTTACTATATAGACTACGGGAAGGACAAGAAAGAGGTGAAGAAACGGGACTGGAAAAGACACGAGTTCCACTACGACAACATTGTCTGGGCTCTTTTGACTCTCTTCACCGTGTCCACCGGGGAGGGCTGGCCGCAGTGAGTGTCTCCGTTCCCTGTCCATTTATGAGCAATTTCACCTTCAGACCTTTTGATGAACAAAACATGATTATGGAAGTCATCTAAGAAAGGTTTTGCCATTCATCTAACTGTAAGGTGAGACTATATTTCACTGACAAGGCTTGTAAATTAACCACGTCTATTTAATGGTTTAATTTAAAAATTAAATGCCAGGGGGACATTTGAACAGGAATGACTTTGACGAGAATATTAGTAACTCGCGGCATTTTGGCAAATTCTACATTATTAAACACGGAGGTACGTTGAAATGCAAATGACCCGACCGACGGCTTGAGGTTTTAAATTTATTTATTTTTGGGAGCTACACGCTGCCGTTTGGCCAATTATTTTGCTCTTATTTGCAAATAATAATTCCGCTTAATGCTAACAAACAATGCAAAGCACACTTGACAGCGAATGAATACCATCAGTGTTGCGGTGTTCAGCAACGGATATTTGCAGATACGTGGTGGAGCAACACATGTCAACAGACAATATAACAATACTCATAGGCATTTACACTTCATCCACTATGAAGAACAACAAATATTAGTGACACTTACAGAGGAGGATGTCGAGATTATACTACGGCCAGATGGCCGAAGCCCGCCCACTAGAAGAAGCAGCACAATGTCCATTGAATTGAAGAAAAGTGTCGTAAAAATTTAATTCTTTACATTCTCTTGTAATCATTACTATGTTTATAATATTAAATAGTGCTATTTTTCTGATTTAAGACACATTGGGTTGGGTTGGCTTTTGGGGGATTCTGGAAGAGATTAATGGCATCCCCATTCATTTCATGAGGGAAAGATACAACCGTTGGCGGTATGATTACAGTCACAAACAAATCAAACTTGCATCCCAAGGCACCAGGGGATTATATACACCAACAAGCAAATGAGATCCAATTCAAGGTCTACATCATAAATCCTTTACAAAGACAGTAATGTTTAGTTTTGATTGCCACTGTGATAATACGGATATTCCATTAGACGTACAGTACAATAAAGAACTGTAGTGGAAATACAGTGCCCATTTTTCAAGAGCAGAGAAGAAAATGATCAGGTTGCAATTTAACATTGATGGGAACAAGTGCTGTATGGTGGTCCTGCAGGGTCCTACAGCACTCGGTGGACGTGACTGAGGAGGACAGGGGCCCGAGCCACGGCAACAGGATGGAGATGTCCATCTTCTACGTCATCTACTTTGTGGTCTTTCCTTTCTTCTTTGTCAACATCTTGGAAAATAGAACAAATTTAAAGTATCGGTAATATTCCTTTACTAGTGCACCCATAAATGATGCTTGTTTGTTGTATTTTTTTTTTTATTGAGCTTCAGCTGGAACTGGAGTTTTCGTCAAGGTCGGAAAATAGAACAAATTTGAAGTATCGGTAATATTCCTTTACGAGTGCACCCATAAATGATGTTTGTTTGTTGTATTTTATTTTTTTTATTGAGCTTCAGCTGGAACTGGAGTTTTCGTCAAGGTGGGGGGGAGTTATGAACCGTTCCAAATAGCGGTCACTGTTAGCACAAAACCTTCAGGCTCCTGCAAGAAAGCAAAAAAAAAAAAAAACAAATGTCAGCAACAGCCAACTTGAACATTCTGAGCTTTATTGTGGCGGGTGTGTGCTGACTCCCATTGAACACGATCTCTTTTAGGAAAACAACAATGTGCAGAAATCCTTGGTGCGCTATTACCTTTCCACTGTCCTTTCTGTTCTTTGCACTTTAGAGGGCGTGCATCGACTTTGCCATCAGTGCCAAGCCGCTGACCCGTTACATGCCTCAGACCCGGCACACGTTCCAATACCGTCTGTGGCATTTTGTGGTCTCGCCCTCTTTTGAGTACACCGTTCTGGCCATGATCGCTCTCAACACCATCGTACTCATGATGAAGGTGAAAGATTGCGCAGCCAGGCACTCATCGTCCAACGTCTTGATCTTGTTTAACCCTTTCATGCACCAAAGATGATAACCTGTAACCTGATAACATGATCAGCTGTCCACTGTCGTAACCGCTGTCCCCGAAAGGGTTAAATTCATAACAAGCGATTGCGGCACACAAGGAAAACTACAGTAATCTTTGTTACAGTTTGATGATCTCCTTAACAATGTGCTCTATATGCTCATTGCACATAATTTGTGTTTCAAAAGATGCTTTCAAAACTTTACAATTTATAAACCATGGGAAATTTTCGATGCTATTGCTAATTTATTATATTTATTCTACAAATATATTGCTAATGCTTTATTTTATATTGCACTTATATTGAACTGTGTACAGTTCTTTTCTGAAACATTTATTTTGTGCAATGAAACACTTTATTCCCCCTCTCCCCCAATTTTGCTGCTGTAGACTGCAAATTTCCTCAGTGTGGGACAAATAAAGGTTATCTTATCTTATCTTAAATCTAAGTACCAGTTGATAAGTCATTTCCTAAACGACAGACAAAACTTAGGCAGGTAATCTTCCTTTTGTTTTGTTTTTTTTTTTGGGGGGGGGGGGGGGATATGTATGTAGAGAAGTGTACCTCCCGGCAAGTACGTGCATATGCCGTACAGTAAGTACCTCTAGCCTGACCGTGATATTTTCAGTGGTTCGTTTCAATGTTTTGCCCTTTATTTCCTCCAGAGCTCTCTTGCTGCAATTCATTTCCTCAAATTGTCTACTTTTTCTAGACTGCTCGGACAGACCGACGCAGCATGACTCAGCCTGTATTAAATATTGATCCCCAATGTCCAGGGGCTGCTATTTAGCATGACCTCATTAACGGTAGCTGCCGCCCCCGGAGGAATTACTCTTTTTTTATCTTGCGGGCAGATGAGGGGTGAAAAGACTTGGCTGCTATTTCTGCCTCTTGAGGAATCTTCCATCAACCTGTAGCTGTCAGAAGATCATTTTGCTTGCGTTTTAAATGCTGTGTGTGTGTATATGTGTGTGTGTGTGTGTTTTCAGTATTATTCAGCCCCGCCCGGAGCCCCGACCGCCTACGAAGCTGTCCTGAAGCATCTGAACACAGCCTTCACCGTTCTCTTCTCCATTGAGTGCGTCCTCAAGATAATGGCATTTGGCTTTCTGGTAAGGAGGAACAAACCTCTAGGTGACATGTGCGGTGGTTGTCTCAAAATGAATCCAACCCCGTCTATTGTGTCTCCACAGAATTACTTTCGAGACACATGGAACATTTTTGACTTCATCACCGTACTCGGCAGCATCACTGAGATAGTAGTAGACTTGCAGGTGAGTGCTGCATTTACATACAGAGAGAGAGAGAGAGAGAGAGAGAGAGAGAGAGAGAGAGAGAGAGAGCGCAAGCAAGCATCATCATAACTCAAAACTGTTTTAATCACACCTCAGAGAGAATGAATGATATTCTAATGTTCTGAAAATGTCTTAACAGGACAATTTTTGTGAGTTCAGTTATTGTCTCAAAATGTTCTTTCCGAAAATCCGTCTCCCATGTGTTTCCGACTGCACGCTCCCGCCCCCAGTTCGTGGATACGTTCAACATGAGTTTCTTGAAGTTGTTCCGAGCGGCACGTCTGATCAAGCTGCTGAGACAAGGCTACACCATCCGGATCCTTCTGTGGACATTTGTGCAATCCTTCAAAGCGTTGCCTTACGTTTGCCTGCTCATCGCCATGCTCTTCTTCATCTACGCCATCATTGGAATGCAGGTCGGACGCACGCGCTTCACTTGATGGGCTAGACTACACTTTTAAAACGTCTGAGTTAAATGTAACCCAATTTGGCTCAAATTGCTTACCAAGCGGTTGGGAATGGGTTACGAGGTTATCACTATAGCCATAGTTAAAAATATATATTTTATGACCAACCTTCACAAAGAAGAAGAAGAACGGGTTGCTACAGCGAGTCACTCGCATGAAATGTCCAGCACAGTTTTTGCACCAGATGCCCTACCTGACAAAACCCACTGATTTTTATCCAGGCTTGGCACCGGCAGTGGCTTGGAATTGGCGTATGGTGAAAAGGGTCTTGTCAAAGGACCCAGCTAGATGTTGCCCTTTGCCCTGACCACAATTTGAACCCTGACATCAACATTTTCTAAGAACGTACATAAAACTGACTTCATCTTCAGTATGTGACACAAAACTGTCCAAAATGGTGACCCACTCCGGCTCTTCAGCCCAATTTTCAACCCAATCTGCTGGGTCACAATAATTCACCTAACCAATCTGCTCAAAATCCACAGCCACCCAGCAAGTGGGTTAGGAGAACAACCCGTCACTTTTTTAGTGTGTATAAATGTATTGTTTGCAATTGTTGAAGTCCGATGTTTGTGTTTTGTTTTTATGAATGTACTAGTTGGTTTGTTATGTATAGTGGATCCTCCTAAGTCAAACAGACCCCACAAGTGGAAAAAGTTGGAGTTCAACCAAAATGATGGGGCGGGGGGGACAAGCAAAACCAAACAAATATTGGGAGCTCTCACTATCATCATGCATGACATCAAAAGATCTAGTCATCTTCGTGATACCACCAGAAATGAGCGATCATAACCATAAGAACCAAAAAAGGAAGTTATTTCCACACAGAAAAGGGTCGAGCTGATTACAATATGAGCAATATCAATCAATGACTTCAACCACATAAAGTGGTGCCTTGACATACAAGCGTCTCAACATATGACTTTTTAGAGTTATAAACTGTCGCTTGTTTGTTTGGGTTTTTCTTTGCTTTGTGACCAGCCAAAATTTGAATTATAAGTGACCCTGAGGTATTCCCCTGATTGAATGAAACAAAAAAATTATTGCCATTGCACTTTTGGTCATCGATTGAATAGAACAGTGAAACAACCAAATATACAATGAAAACACCCACAAGGAGCATGGAAGATATTTTAAAACCCGCCAACCTGATTGACGGCAAGCTCCTGATGTCACATCAACACTTCCATTTTGTGTGTGTGTGTGTGTGTGTGTGTTAATTTATTAACATTTTCTTTTATTTTTAATATAGTTATAATTTCAATAAAGGGCTATTATTATTTATTTTAAAAATGTAAAAAAAATGCAGTTTTTGGGGGGGGGGGGCTGAATGGAATGACCTGGATGAATGCGAATATTCACAAGTACACTTCCAAAGTTTTCATGATAGCACCAACTTAACCTCGAACAATTCACATAATTCACTTTAAATCATTTCCCACGAGACTTTTGAAATCAGGACAACTTGGAATTCAATCGGCGTCCCGGAATTGTGTGACTTTGGAGGTTCTACTTCAATTACCATATTGTCACTTGTTAACTTGTCACTTGTTGTGAATTAGGTGTTTGGCAACATTAAGCTGAATGAGGAGACGCACATTAACCGGCACAATAACTTCAAGAGCTTCTCTGGCGCGTTGATGCTGCTCTTCAGGTAAAGGGCATGAAATGCTCCTCTAACAATAATCGATAATATTCATTCTTTATTTGAGGTGGAATATAGTACAAATGTATGTCTTCAAAGTTTTATGCATTTAATTAAACTGTTATGAAATATTAAAGGAAGGTTTGTATGGGTTTTTTTTTAAACACCCTTGGTATGAAACACCATTCGGATTCTGAATGCGACACAATCTGGGAAGGAGTCCAAGATCCAAAATGACATTTTACACTGTGCTTGGCCCGGCGGTTCACATTCACTGCTCCACTGTAGCACTTCAGTGTTGTTGGGATGATGTTGCTAGGCGACAATGGTAAGACTATGCTCCTAAAAGTACCCCAGGGGCCACTTGTTGTCAGAAGCTGATGGATGCTGCAGTGAAGCACTTAACTCCTTAAGTGTTGTGTGCGATACTGAGGGAAGAAAGAGGTGGAATAAATGTTTGTTTAAAAAAATAATAATTTGTTTTTGCAGGAGCGCCACGGGGGAGTCATGGCAGGAAATCATGTTGTCCTGTCTGGGTGGGCAGCGGTGTGAGGCGGACCCCTCCAATCCCTTACCTGTACTTAACACCGAGCAGGAGGGAGGCTGCGGCTCAGATTTTGCTTACTTCTACTTTGTGTCCTTTATCTTCTTTAGCTCCTTCCTGGTGAGAATAGAAAACAAACACGTCATTTTTACATTTCCTTTCAGTCCCCTCACATATGAAAACAAATATTCACCATCTTTCTGTCCAGATGCTGAACTTGTTTGTGGCTGTGATCATGGATAATTTTGAGTACCTGACTCGAGACTCCTCCATCCTGGGCCCCCATCACTTGGACGAGTTTGTCCGAATTTGGGGGGAGTACGATCGGGCTGCCTGGTCAGTCTTTGTTCAACCATCTCATGTTATTGTTCTAACGTGTATTATATTATCCCATTTGCAGTCGAGTATAGCAATAAAACAGTACTTTACTAAGATGTGATAACATGAAGGAACATTTCGGGAATGGAGACCCTGCCAGGTTACTTCATTAGTTCTCCTTTAGTCACTGCAATTTACTGTTCTGCTTTCAGGCCAAAGTCATGTTTAACAGACAAATTGATTTGGCGCGATCTGGTGGCATCTTTGCGCCAAGCAACTATGTTGACTTGAAGGGAGGAGCTTCAGTTAGTCATGCCCGAGCCTTATCTAATAGAAAAAGTGTTTTGCTGCAATTTTGTGGCATCCATAGACAGTTCCAAACCTTTTTGGATGGGCATCAATTGCTCTTAAATTTTCGATATTTATGGCAGGGCTTCCAATCCAGCGTGACTAGCGGGGATCACTATAATCACATCAAGTACAAGTGTGACATTGACACCACAATCAAATTTGTTGGATACAATAATGGACACAAACTACCGGGCAAGCGATTTTCTCCGACCACCAGATATACTTATCTATTTTAAAATTTCTGTCACCCACGTGGCCTGTGAGGCCGCACTGACCCAAAACTAAAGACTCTTATGTTCTTTCCAGTGGTAGGATCCACTATAAGGAGATGTACAAAGTTGTGCACTCTATCTCACCTCCACTGGGATTTGGGAAGAACTGCCCCCACAGGGTGGCATGCAAGGTTTGCTCTCCCCCAAACAAACGAACAAAAACCCACTTGGCCTCCGCCGTTTGGGGCCCTCGCTGACTTCTTCCTTTTCCTTCCTCTTCTTTCGTCGTCACTGACTGTCACCACCTTGCTTGACTCTTTTAGGAGTGTGCTTTTCCGGTGCGATGGTCAAAGAATGATGACAGTCCAGTGTCAGGGTACTAAGGGACGGCACTCCCCGTGCCCACATAAACTTATGTGGACACATCATTGTGTGAATGCGGAGAGATGAGCAGCTACACTCATGCAGTACATGCAGGTGCAGCTCCCGAAATTTGAATATCGGCGAATGTTTCATTTCATTTGTTCAATTCCGAGTGAAATAATGCACGATTACATTTTTGATCAATTTGATGCTTCCAGCCAACGAAAACCAACAATTCATCGGCTCAAGAAATTATAAACCATCCTAGTCCTTTTTTGTGTTGAAATGAAGTAGGAATTATTCTTCTTAAAAGTGTTGTGCCGAAACAATTTTTCATTTTTTTTTTTCGCTAAACTCCTCAATAACTGATACTGATGTCCTGGTATACTTAGTATACAATATTCTAATTTATTTATAGGCACCTGTATTATTTGTGTTTCTGATTATTGCTATTCCGCTCACCTAATAGCAGCATCTTTATTAAATTGATTTCAACTCAGGCAGAGGAAACTCCTATGTCTATAACCGTGCCGAGCAGAAGTCTAGCTTTACGTGGTCTAACTGCTAGCATGGGTGGAGTTTTCTTTTGATATTTTCGAAGAAACACGTTTTTAGAAACAGTGGTTTGCCTCGTTGTGGGCATGAACACAGTAGTCTTCTTTCAACCATCAAACTGTCAGCTATGCCCAGTGGCGTGTAAAAGAAAAGCGCCCTCTGGGCGCTGGAACACCGAGCGTGGCGTAGTGCAGTCTCTCAAATCCCTAAACACAGTAAACGAGACTTGCCCTAGCATGAAAATGAAGCTGGACCAGTTAATATACCCGAGTGCACGTGTGCCGTCTACAAACAATACAGCGAGCCCTTTAACCCTTTCGTGCACCCTGTAACCTGATAACACGATAAGCTGTCCACTGTAGTAACCACTGAAAGGGTTAATGCTAACTCTACCAAAGGTGGTAAAATAATTTCCAAACTGTGGACCTCAGTCTATCAAATGATGGAGAACACATTGACAACACTGACAGTGAGGAAAGCAAAAAAAAAAAATAAGGCATTAAATTAATTGTGCTATTTCTTTTTTTTTTTTTTTTTAAATGTTACAAAAAAATTGTTGTTGGGGGTGGAACAATTAAATGGCATTTCAACTCATTTCAAAAGGGGAATATGATTTGAAATGCATGCATGGGCATGGATTTAACTCAAGAGTCAAGGTCTAATAAATGCCCCCCCCCCAACCGCCCCACCCCGATCAAAAGCATCTCTCAGCATTCACATGAGATTTCTAATACTTGAAGCTTAATTGAAATGCGAAGCCTGTTGCGGGAAGCCTGACTCTTTCTACCTTGTAGATCTGGTTTGAAGATCTCTCATACTCACATGTGCTGTGTAAGTATGTCATTTGCACCAGATCTAGGCTGTCATTCCTTTGTTCATTCTTTCTGAAGTATTTCCCCTTCCCTCAGAAATTTCTATGCCCTCATATCAGCATAGAAATAATGCAACCTACTTTACTCTGTCCTGGTATGTGATGCACTGGAATAATCCTCTCTTGTTTCTCCGCCATTCTGTTATTTCCCCTTCACTTCCATGTTTGTGATATTTTTTTTTTTACATTTCCTCTCCCTCCATTACTTCCTCCTATCGCCATGACTACCTGGCACCCGCAGTGGTCGCATCCATTACACTGACATGTATGAGATGTTGACCAACATGTCGCCACCCCTTGGCCTCGGCAAGAAATGCCCATCCAAGGTGGCTTATAAGGTAGACCTTAAAGAGGCTGCTCATGTCTGTATCTGAAGGGAAGCGCTGTTCAAGATCAAGTTTTCCATTTTATTTGCTTAGAAAGCATTTTCCGTTGACTGTATGACGCTGTATTGTTCATTTGCAGCAGTAATGTCTATTCACTGGCCGATGAAATGCTTGGTTTCCATTGCTTTATGACAGACAACTACAGCGAGGTACACACATTCCGATTTTTAACAATGTTAGCTTTTTTTTTTTATTATTATTATTGTGCGAGACCCTGCATATGTTGTGGAAACAAATTTGAAAGTGTATTCTTATACTTGTGTTCTACCAACAGCACACCACACACATCACCATATCCCCAAATCCAAAAAGTTTGTTGTAATACAGAAACTGACCAGTGGGCAGCAGCATGGTGCCATCCAGATGGACAGAAAATACATAAAAGAAGAAAAAGTAGTCGTCGTGGTAGTAGTAGTAGTAGTAGTAGTA